CGCCCCGCGCCCCGCCCCGCCCGCTCTCTTCCCGGTACTCCTGCACCCCTCGCCGGTCCGCAGGTTTCTCTCTTGAGTCAGGATAGCGCTCTGTCGCTAAACGGCCCGCGATGGGCGGCCCCAGCTTCCGACCCTCCGGCCTCAGCGTCGCGGACCGTGGGACTCTCGGGCCTGGCAGTACAGCCGTTGAAGCCGTCTCCGCCCACTTCCCCGCCCCCCAGCCAGTGTGAGGAGTCCGCCCTTCGTGTGCTGGAGGTCCCCCTGAGAGGTGACGCTGGACCGGAGGCGACAGCAGTGGCCGAGCCAGGCCGGGGAGCGCGCCCCGCGAGTAAGCCGCGGCGCCGCGTAGCTGCGGAGAGGACGCCGGGAGCTGGGCACACGGGTTGGACGCGCGGCGCTTGGACCTGGCCACCTGCAGGCATTCTGGGGTGCGGAGCCACTGGGGACGAGTCCGCGCTGTCCCCAGGAGAAGGGTCCCGACACCTCCCTGCGCACCCGTCTGGAAGGGGCACGATCTGCACGCTCCGGAGCCCTTGTGCAGGACTTGGGAAGTACTTGTCCTTCGAGGCCCACGCGTCCTACCGGTCTCCTCCCAGTGCTCTCCGCCTGGGTGATTGGCTGTTCTGTGGGGTCTCGGGGCCTTGCGCAGCCCAGGGGTTTAGGAGCTGGAGGCGCTGGCCACTGCGGGACAGAGCTGGGCAGGGGGCTGTAATTCCAGCGCTCAGGAGGCTGAGGCAGGAGGATCACGGTGAGCTCAAAGCCAACCTGAACTGCATAGCAAGACTGTGTCTCAAAAAATTAAAAAGCAGGGGCTGGTGAGATGGCTCAGTGGTCTAAAGCTCCTACTTAGAACAAGCTTAGCAAAGCACAGGGACCGCGGTTCAATCCCCCAGCACCAGATGCCAGCCAGCCCCGCCCCCTGGTGGGTTGAGCTGGCCACACACACACACATAAATAAATACAATTTAAAAAAAATTAAAAAGCAAAAAATGCATGTGCTAAAACAAAATATGACATTTGCATAGAAATTGATACACAGCTGAGTGGCAGTAGAGAAATAGTCTATATTTCATACTCTTTTTTTTTTTTTTTTTTAGGTACCAGAGATTGAACTCAGGACCCTGCGCTTGCCAGGCAAAGGCTTATTCTGAACTATCTCCCCAGCCTCCTCAGAATCTATTAAGTAAAATGAGTACTTCCCAAAGAAAAGCTCCTTAAATGAATAATTTTTAAAATGCACTTCACAGTATGCAGTGGTAATAAATAAAAATGTAAAAGTGGAACTAAAAGTTGCTTTTAGAGAAAGGCTAGACAAACCCTGAGACCTGAGTGGGTCTCACACGGAGAGCCCCGCTGGCCTTGTGTGTTTCCTGGTTTCGGTTTTTGTGGGGATTTGTTTTATATATTTATTTTATTGCTGTTGTTGATACAGGGTCTCACAGTGCAATTCAGACTCCTAGTGATCCTCCTGTGTCAGCTTCCCCCATGCTGGGATTCCAGGCGTGCACCACCACACCTGGTTTCGGTGACAGGCATAGCATGTAGTACCGAGGATCAAACTTGGGTTCTTGAGCTTGCCAGGCAGGTGCTTAGACCGCCGAGCTATCTCCCCAGCTCAGTTCTGTTGGTTTTTTGAGACAGGGTCTCACTATGTAGCCCAAGCTGGCCTTGAGCTCACAGCGATCCCCCTGCCTGAGCCCCCTGACTGCTGGATGACAGACATGTGCCACCGTGCCCATCTCCTGTCTTTTAATCGCTCCATTGCACAAGCATCCTTCCATTTGCTCAGAGATAAAAGTTCCTTATCTCTAGACATGCATTTGTGCAAGGCAGAGACAGACAGAGGCCAGATGGCCAGCAGATACAGAGAGGGCGGTGGGCTGGGCTGAGGGGAGAGGCAGGAAAGGACATTCTTCATTTAAGATGCCTTTTCAGGAGTTTTGTATTTACAGAAAAACCAAGTTGAAAGTGCAGTTTTTAACCAACCTCTCCCCTTTTCTTACAGCCTCCAGTTTATATGTGGGAATTTGGGGGGATTATTTTGCTTTTTGGAGACAGTCTTGCTATGTAGCCCAGGATGGTCTTGAACTCACAGCAGTCCTCCTGTCTCAGCCTCCTACAGTGCTGGGATCACAGGCAGGTGTGCACCACACATGCCTCTCTTGTACCTTTGCTAAGTCCTGACAGGCATGGAGGGCGAGGGCCAACAACGGGAGCACACAGGGTGGTGGTGCGGGGAGCATGGCCCTCGGCCTCCGCTACCACCTGCCCTTTCCTACGGCCTCCATCTTCGGTGGTATCTTAGTTGCCCCACCTTTTACAGAAAGTGACCATGAGAAATCACTGGCTTTGGGGGCACTTTACTCCGACTCCTTCCACTTAAATCCTTCCCCCGCCAGCCTGCTGGTGCACACCTGTAATTCCAGCACTCTGGAAGGCTGAGGCAGAGCAGTGGCAAGCAGGAGCTCAGCTCAGACATGCTAGCCACCTGAGGAGACCCCATCTCAGAATGGAAAACAACAGGGGCTGGGGCTGGAGCTCAGTGCAAAGGCCCTGGGCTCTCCCCGGTGCAGCCAAAACCCGCGAACTTTTCAATGCCTGATTTTAGGGTTTCCCTTCTGGAGTGAAGCGGCCATCAAGAGGCCAGCATCCGTGTATGCCCAGGGGCATGGCCAATGAGCCGAGGGGTGGGTGGGTGGGAGCTGTCTCCAGGCGAGAACTGTGGCCGAGGTTTGCTTTTTACTCCTGATTTGTGATTTTGCTACAGTCAGTTTAGGTCCCTGTAAGGGTAAAGCCAAGACAAGAGTAGCTAGCGTGGATACTTGTCGGTCCCCGCCAGTGGCCTGGCTGGCCCTGGACATCACACAGGCCAGCGTGAAAGGCCCATGTGAGTTAGCGGCAGCAAGCCCATACTCCCAAGTGGGCTTGGCCTTTGCAGCCAAGGCTCAAGGGACATCGTCCTCTCTGCAGATGCTCAGGGACAGAGGGGGTTGCACTGCCCAGGGCTCCTGCAGCTGGGCTGAGCCCAGTGGCCAAGTCACCCTGGAGCAGGGATCCCAGGCCATCCAGTGGCTGTCACCAGGGCCTCAGACTCTAAGCAAAGATGGCCTGTGACTAGTACCCCACTGTGGTTTCCTCCTTTACTGTCAGTGACCCTTCCCAGTGGCTCAGACAGTCAGCAGTGTAACTCAGAGACCCGCTCCTGAGACTCAGTTCCCACTCCTTCCTGCAGCAGCTCTGGTGTCCTCCTTCCTTGGGGTCTTTACCAAGTGTGATCAAAAACACAGTGACTGGCGCCATCCACCAGAAAGGCAGGCTTGTAAAAACAAGGTGCTGTGTCCTCATCCACCTTAATCACGGGACCTGGGATCATGTACCTTCTGGCCTCCCCTACAGTCAGAATAAGCACGAAAGGGAATCTGCTGAGTCCATCTAGGACATGAGGCCCAGGACAGCACAGCTAAAGACCTTTGGGAAAGGGTCCCCGGAGTTACTGCCAGAAGCAGCAAGGACGGTGGGAGTGTTGTAGGCAGCCGAGTTAGATAGAAATATTATAGGCAGTCAGACAGGGCCAGGCCCTCAAGGAGACAGCACAAAAGACAAGATAGCTTGCAACTCTGGGAAGGGCAGATGCTCCCTCAGTGGGCAGACCTAAAGACCAAAGATCAAACAAATGCCGACCTCCCTAAAGATTGGCAGCTGAGATTGATCCTCACCCTGAGGGAGCCAGAAGAATCATTAATCCCACTACTACTGGCTGGCTACCTGGTAAGTCCTGTGCTACATTCATGCCCGCTTACTACGTGACTCGTTACCCCATTTGGTGCTGGGCCTAATCAATTTTACCTGAGCAATGGTGCTTGTAATCCCATTGGGTGACCATAGCTTTGTCCCACCTCTTGTCCACCTAAGGGAGTTCCCATTTTCTCTACCTTTGCCCCACATGGTTTCACACTATAGACGTCCCTAAAAGAGCCAGCTTCCTGGGGAACAACCCGCTCGGGCCCCCCTCTTGTCCCTCTCTCAGACAGGAGCTTTCTTTCCCTCAATAAATATATTCTGCTTATAACCTCCGTTTGTTCCTAAAACTCATTCTTCAGTTTTAGAGAACAGGAACTCGCGCAGGTCAGGTCGGGAGATCGTTTTTCCCTGTGTCATCTGGAGGTTCCCCTATCGTTTGGAGGTCACCCACCGGAGACCAGTGTTTCTCCCTGTGTCAGGAGGAGTACGTGGGAAGTGAGGAGAGGCTTGCAAGGCTTCCGTGGCCGTGTGTCCCTCACTATAACACATCTTGCACAGCGAGACACCGGCTGCACTTTCTTATCACACCAGTGGCACGCAGGCCGTGATATCCCCGGACCTGTCCTGCTGAGTGCGATTCACTCCTCCTGTGGCTGTGTCCACCCCAGGACAGTGGTCAACCTGAGCATGGGGCCGTGCCCGCTCCCCCCAGCTGCCCTCGCCATGGGGAGCTTGCCTCCTTCGCACACTGCCAGCCCGAGCCAGGGCTGTTTCCTGCACCCCCTGCCCCCTGCCGTGGTTTTTGCAGAGCTCCTCCCAGAGCGCTATGGCTGCCTGCGCACCTCCACAGGAGGGGCTCCGATCTTCTGACAGGGAGCCGGGCCTGGTGGTGCACACCCGTAGTCCCAGCCCTCGGAAGGGAGGCTGAGGCAGGATGATCCCCAGCCCTCGAAAGGGAGGCTGAGGCAGGACGATCACTGTGAGGTCGAGGTCAGCCGAGGTATCAAAGTGAGCTCAAGACCAGCCCAAGCTGTGTAGCAAGACCGTCTCAGAAAGGCCTTGCCTTTGTTATTTATGGTTTTCAGTGTTAGGAAATCTCTTCAAGGTGGCAAATGGCACAGCCCAGAGAGTGAGAGAGGCCAGCAGTGAGCCCTAGATAGCTCGCTGCTTCCGGGTGGAAGCCGCCGTGTGCCCGCACAGCCTCGAGCAGCTGCTCCTGACACCTGAAAACAGGTCCCGGCAGGATTTCAAATCGGCGGGCTCGGTGGAGGCCCGCAGGACCTGGGCCTCGCCCAGCCTGCTAGGGAAACCCAGCACCTCCCGCCTGGGGCGCCCCTCGCAGGCGCGGCTGGGTTGTCGCAACTTACGCTGTCTCGGCGGGCCAAATTCGTCAAGACTGGTGAAACAGACAACGCGGAACTAAAGAGGACTTCACATAGAGACTCGGATGAGCTCCTCCTGCGGCAGCCTTCCCAGTGCTGCAAGTCTGAGACCAGCCTGAGTGTCGAGTGGGTTCAAGGCCAGCCTACACTTCATAGCCTGTCAGAGCACGAAAATACTCAGCACCGAGACGGCGGGGAGTTTGACCCAGAGTTACTATAAGAGTCTGAGGCGAAAGAGCTAGGATTTGGCTGATGGTGTTAGTTG